GAATTGTCTTTTTCTGAAATGTTTCAAATAGCCTCAGTGTAAGTCTCAAAACATTATTGCTCTAAAGATAAATGGACTAAATGAAGCATGGCACAGGCAGTCTAGATTATCAATAAATTTTTCCCAAAATTTACTTTCCAGTAGCAACATACCCATGACTGACAAAATCTGTCTCGACAATATAATAAATTATTTATGAAAAGCATCTTTCCAAAATATAATTATATCTGGTAATTAATCCAAAAAAACTGCAAGCTCCTCCTTGAAAGAAATTTCCGAAATCATATATCGTTGAAGTATTGGTGCAGAGTTCACACCGCAATTAAGTTTGGCTGCCATTAATTTCCAAAGAAAAACCTGAAATCCCAGCAGACACATTTTAATTGAAACGCCGACATGACCTTTCTCATTTCAGCAAGATGAGCCACAATGGCTCAACATGAAGTCAATTGGACTATTAGTCATCATGTCAAAAAGGAGCATTAACATCTATCCCAGAAGCTGGCCCTCCCATTAGGGCCAATCTGGCAGAAACGCCAATAAAGAGATTTCTCTTAATGGGAAATAGGGCTATTCATAACACAAGGTGCTGCTCATTTTAAGGCTGAATGAACAAACCCTCCAAGGCAGTAATTACTACCGATGTACACAGGAAGGCATTTTCAGGAAAACTACTCACACTTACCTAAAAGTGTATTCTCTCAGGTGTCTTTCAGCATCATTTTTAATAAAATGTCAGTTTAATAACTCTACACACAATTCAGCATCCTTCCTTTGTATTACTATAGAATACATCTCCGACAGATAACAAAGGGACTGGCACATCAGTAATTTATTAATTAACACACTGTATCATGAAAGCTACATCTTTACCTCAAGGCAGATTGGCATCACACAGAGACACTGGTATCTCTGAGATCAGTTAGAATTAATGCAGCTTGCACCATATGGACAGAAATTAAATATCAGCACATAGGGAATTCTCTTTTTTGATGTCAAGTTCAAGTCTATTTCAGACAGAAAATCCAGGAATGCATAAATGATAATAAAAGTATATAAAACATCTACTCTTGAAAGAATGGTTATTGGTGACTATATTAAAATAAGGATATATATCAACCATGGGCCATGTAATAACCACACAAGTCATTTTTGAAATCCCCACAAAGGAACTCATCATTTCCCATTTCATTTGGGGAAGTGGTTCTCAACCTTTTTTTGACCAGGGACCACTTGACCAGGGACTACTCTCCAACATTAGTACCAAAAGGGCTACGAATCAGTTTTTGGTCAACTTCAGATTTGGTTTGGTTATTTGGGGGGGGGGGGTGATTGAGAAAATTGCACTGGATAGATCACATCAGCTCTAGTTTCTGATACAGAACATATGTCATTTAATAGCTGCCATCTGCTCGCCCAAAGAAAACYATATTTAATAATCTAGAGATTATGTGGTAGTAGTAATCTTTCGTGGGCAGTCAGCCTCTCCCCTCCCAACATCCCCAATGCCTCAGTTCTATAAGAGAGTTTTATGAGACCAGTCGCTCTTGTTGCCACATGGTTTTGTGGCAATGGTGTCATAATGGTGAGGCAGTGGACCATTTTTTTTGCTCTTGTGGACCACTGGTGGTCCACAGACCACAGGTTGGGAATCACTGATTTGAGGGAATTGTTTTACTAATAGAGTGGGGGCACATACTTTTCCAGATGTTTTACATCCAGGAGAGACCATTTTCCAAACCAGGAACTGTGTTATTGTGATAGTGTATCTTGAACATATGGATAAGTCAAGTTGTTCTTATGTCTACAACAGAAAACAGACCTTTACTACAACAACAACAACAACAACAACAACAACAAAACACATTTTAAAATGTACTGAAAAGGCTAAGCCTCTTTCTCTCAAAAGATAACTAAGGAAAATGCAATTCGCATATCTAAAAATAGCGTACAGGAGGAAGCTAACAGGCAAGGCCAAAAGGGGTTTTTGTGGGGGTGTGTGGTGAAAGAGATTGCATAAGGTGAGCTTGTCTCCACTGGGTTAAACCTTCTCGCCTCCAGATAGTCTTCTGAGAGAGTATGTTAGGTTAAGCTGTTGGGTCTAAAAATAAAGAATAGAACATTTTAAAAACTCCTGAATACTTGTGTAAATAATTTAAGATCATGAAAAAAAGCTGTTTTTCTTAATCCATAAAGAGCCAGCCACAGATGCAGGTGAAACATCAGGAGAAAATGCTGAACATAGCCATACAGCCCAGAAATCACACAACACCCCTGTGAAAGATTTTGCCAATACAAAGAACACATGCCTTAGAAATGCCTCTTTCAAGAAAGAGTTCTGTAGTACAAGTCTACTTCTTTGCAATCAGTGCTGTGAGTTGCACCAGACAGAAAAGCAGCAAGAGGTAGCATGCCTGACCCAAACCACAGGAGAGACAAAGAGGTAGCAGAACCCACCAATCCTTTTAAGGAACTCCCAATCTTTAGTGAATGGATGGAGCAGTCTGCTGAAAGACTACATGAAGCAAGGATGTGCAATTTCAGTGGAACCGTAAGGCAATTCCTACTCCAAGACCTACCATGAGCCACATGCACACTGATGCTCAAAATGCAAGTATAACATAATTAGAAAGACATTTCTGGTTTCAACCATCTCACCACATTTTAAGAGCTTTTTCTTTTTACTAAACAAGGCACAGGCTGTGTGTCATTTCAAAGAAGTATTCATTTAGTATTTTTCTGGGAGATGAAGAGGTTTTTGTGATATCAGGGCTGCAGAAACTACACACACATTGCATTCAAGAGGTCAATCAGTAACTATTTCTACTAGTAGCCTTCTACTGCTACTTTTGCCTTCTGATCTGTGATGTTCAAAATTAATAGACTCTTTCTCATCAGTCTCATTTTTCAACTGTCTACCCCAACCTCTGCCTATTTATTTATTTATTTGTCATATTTATATCTCACCCTTCTCACCCCGAAGGGGACGCACAGCAGCATACATAAAGGCACAATTTGATGCCATAGATTACATACAATACAGATCCTATGTGCCTATGTGCTTCATCCAGACAAAACTCAGCTCTGTCACAATTAGATGCTAACTCCAGACTGGTTTCTTCCACACCAGCATGGAGTTATCTTCATCAGGACTGGATGCAAATTACATCATCATTTCCACTGCCCCACGACTCAACTGACAAGATACATATCCACACAAAGCATGTCTCAAAAGCATAGCTCATAATCATCATGTTTCCGTGCTTCAGAAAATGGTACCGCACATTTCTTTCCAATGACTATAATAGGTGGAAGCACTAACCAAGAATTAATTCTTATACTCACAAGTAAACCAAGTTTGGAAAGAATCAATAGAATACATATTTTTGCTCAATTAAAGGGAGCCAAATCCCAGCAACAATGAGTTTCTCTAAGGACCCCATCTACCATCATTTATGATTTGCCTGCATTCAGATATAATCTATCATTTCTCTTCCAGCCCATTACTGCTGCCTGACATTGCTCAGGAGAGAACCTATGCTCCTAGATCATGACAGAGAAACAGAAGTAGGTGTCGTCAGCATATTAATGACACTTCACTCCAAAGACTTGGACAATCTCAACTGGTGACTTCATGTAAATATTAAACACCGATGTGTATCATTCTCTAGGTCATTTTACGTGGAGCCAAATAAATACCTACTCAGGTATTTAATCTGAATGAAGCTCCAGAGAAATATTCATAATACAAGGTACTGCTCAAGCAAGCTGCACCATTACTGAATGTACAGCATACAGGTTCATCCCCTTGGGACTTGGCATTTCATCAACCAATATGTAGGAAGAAAGGAAAACAGATGCTCACAAAAGAGTTCAGAAATTGAAAATGAATACTTCAGATTCTTTTGAAAACAATTCCATACTTTCTGCAACCATCAGCCTTCAATATATGTTTTTGTCAAACTTTGGGACCATGAAAACATGAACCATGAACAGTGTAGTGTGGTGAACCGTAATATATGTATATTTAAGATGCCAGTTGTTGTTAAGCAGCTGAGGGGGGAGGGGAGGGGGGAGAAAGGGCCTGAGGCTGTTAGGAATGGTGGGAGTTGGAAGTCCAAAACACCTGGAGGGATGAACTTTGCCCAGGCCTATGCGAAAGCCATTTAGAAGATGACACAAATGTGTTACATTATACAACTGCGATACATTTGCCTGAATTATAACCAAAGATATATTTCTTGCTTGGAAAGGAAAACTTCCGTTGCCATTATTGTAATTACATATCCTCCCCCCCCCCCAAACTTTTTTTAAAGGAAGGCTTTCTGTCAGAGTACAGTAACCCCCTTTTTCTAGGCAGTGAGAAAGTTCCGCTGCTCACATCTTATATAAATGGGGATATAGCTCCCCCACATTGTCACAATGTTTTGAAACACCAGCCACACCGGCGCAGAAAGAGAGCAAACCCATCCACCTTCAGCTTCCCACCCACAACCTAAGATTTTTCCATCATCCTGGAACAGGATGATCAGCATGGCTTTCATCAGGTGGAGAGGAAGAAAGAGAATTGAGGGAAAGGAGTTGAAGCAAATGGCTGATGGGCAAAGGTGGTTTCTGATCTGTTTTAATAACGCAAGGCACGAGATTCCATTTCCATGATCTGACACCTAAGACAGGACTGTCAGGGTTAATTCCAGAGTACAACTGTTCTCTTCTCCAGAGAACTTGAAAAGAGAATGTTTCCTTTACTGACAGATAGTTAATATGTGAGAAAGAGGATGATTATAGAGCAGGCATGGGCAAACTTTGGCCCTCCAGGTGTTTTGGACGTCAACTCCCACATAGATTAAGCAGCTAAGGGGGGAAAGGAAAGGGCCTGTGGCTGTTGAGAATTGTGGGAGTTGAAGTCCAAAATACCCTGAGAGAGGACCGAAGTTTGCCCATGTCTGTATAAAGAGAAAAGTGGGAGAGGAGAGGAAGGCAGAAAAGCAGAGCCTTACTTTTGTAGCTGGCCGCCCAGGGCTGGTAGCCATAATAGCCCGTGATGCGCAGGATCCTTTCCTCGATGGACGTGAGCCCCACTGAAGCGAGGTCCTCCACTGAACGGGACCATTTCAAATCCTCTTTGATGGCTTCATCCACCACCAGATACTTGAGCTGCCGGAGCTGAGGGCTGATGTCTGACAGCCGCCGGGGGCTGACATCGGGAGATCTCCTCATGCCACTAGGAAACCAGGAGAGAGAGAAGGAGCAGAGGGGAAAGGCAAACGGGGTTATCATCAATGCCAGGAAGGAAGGAAGGGAGTCACAAGGTAGGAGCAGCAATGCAAGGAAAGGGCACGCTTTTCAGGCTCAACACACTCACACTGACAGGAGGGGATGGCAGAGCAGAACAGAGCAGAGCACAGCAGGGGGGAAACTGAGTGGGTGCATGACATAAAAGGGATGGGATTCCCTCCTCAGTGGTCCTAATATGCCCACCAGAGGAAAGAGGTCCCTCCCCAGAAGTCTTATTAAACCAAGAAGGGTAAAGGTAAAGGTTTTCCCTGACATTAAGACTAGTCGTGCCTGTCTCTGGGGGGGGGGGGGGGTGCTCATCTCCATTCTAAGCCAAAGAGCTAGCATTGTCTGTAGACACCTCCTAGATCAAGTGGCCAGCCTGTTACCTTCCTGCAGAAGCAGTACCTATTGATCTACTCACATTTGCATGTTTTCGAACTGCTAGGTTGGCAGAAGCTGGGGCTAACAATGGGAGCTCAGCCCGTCCCAAGGATTCGAACCGACGACCTTCCGGTCAACAAGTTCAGCAGCTCAGCGGTTAACTGGGTTTAATACACCTATGAAGGGAAAGAGGTCCCTCCTGAGAGGTTTTCATATTCCAAGAAGGGGGTCAGAAGTCCCTCAGGAGTCTTCATATGCCTGCAAAGGGAAAAAGGTTGCTCTTCAGGTGCCTTAATACACCTGCGAAGGGCAAGAGGTCCCTCTGAGAGGTTTCATTTCAAGAAGGGGCAAGAAGTCCCTCAAGGGTCTTAATGTGCCTGCAAAGGGAAAGAGGTTGCTTTTCAGGTGCCTTAAGATACCAAGAAGCGCAAGAGGTCCCTCCTTAAACCACTTCACACACCCAGAGAAGGTGTTAATATACCAAGTAGGATGAGGAGTCTCTCCTTAGGGGTCTTAATGGTCCCACTATAGGAAAGAGGGGAAAGAAGCCCTGCTCAAAGGTTTCAATACACCAAGAAGGGGAAGTGGTCCCCCCTTACTTAACCTGCCCAGAGAAGGGGAAAGAAGCTCCTCCTCCGAGGTCTTAATATACCAAGTAGGAGTAAGGAGTCTCTCCTTAGAGGTCTTAATGTGACCACGATAGGAAAGAGGGGAAAGAAGCCCTGCTCAAAGGTCTCAATATACCAAGAAGGGGCAGGGGGTCCCTCCTCGGCGGTCTTGATAGGGGAATGAGGGGAAAAGAGTCTACTAAGACCTCAGAGTTCTTAACAGACTCCCCCAAACCCACTAACCGCCTCGGAAAAGCCTGCCAGGAGGGAGCCCCTAAAGACCATCCCAAGAGGGACGAGACAGAAAATTAGCCCCCAAACAACGGAATCCAGGAAGCGGGGAAGAGAAGAAGCCTTCGAGGAGAAAAAAAACTTTGGGGCAGAAGCCACGACGGAGGGGTCTTGCCGCTGCCCTCCCCTCCCTTCGGAGCGTCTCAACCCCGGACACGGAGACCTAGGGTCCCCTCCTGCCCCCCCCCCAACCCCCGCCCATTCTGCAAGGCATGGCAAGGCACTCACATGGCGATGGTCTTGCCCCTGGCCGTGCCGTTGGGGAACTCCCGGACCCCCATCGGGAAGAGCGGCGGCGGCGGGAGGGCTCCCAGGCTTCAAGGAAGGGGCAGGCGAGGGGCCGCCCTGCTGGTGGCGGGAGGGAGGGAGGGAGGGCAAGGAGGCGAGCCCGGAGTTGAGGGCGAGCGGGAGGCGAAGGAGAGCCGCTGCCTGCATGCGAGCCCCGCGTCCTCCACCGCGAAGGCCAGGCGACGGGCTCCCCGTTGGAAAACCTGCCGCCGGTGCTGTCCTTGCCTTTGCGGCGGGTGAAGCGGCACAGAAGAGCCAGCGTCGTCCCTGGCCCCGCTCTCTCTCTCGCTCTGGCTCCCTCTCTCTCACACCGGCGCTCCCCTGTTCTCAAGCGCCGGCGCGTCCTTCCGTTCTCGGCCTGCAGGGGGAGCGCGCTCTCCTCTTCCACTGTGGTTTCCGCTTGCTATGCGCAAAGGGGACCGACAGGGGGCGCGCGGGAGCTCTTCGCCCACAAGCCAGGCATTCATAGGCTACAACTAAGGCTGGCTGCCAGTCACCCGGAGACTGAGGAGGTAGGAGGTTCCAGCCAGGTGAAGGGGCTGACAGGGTTTGGGGTTTACAACCCTTCTGGTTCTGTGCTTACATTTGTTCTTACATACAGGCTTATCATCTATCTATCTATCTATCTATCTATCTATCTATCTATCTATCTATCTATCTATCTATCTATCTATCTATCTTTGTGTTTTGTCTGTTTGTCTGTTTTGTTAAAAATGTAATACAAATATCTGGTTGCTCCTAACACAATAAAATCTATCTATCTATCTATCTATCTATCTATCTATCTATCTATCTATCTATCTATCTATAAGGAGCCTTCTAACCAAGGTGAAAGAAGAAAGTGCAAAAGCTGGGTTGCAGTTAAACATTAAAAAACCAAGATTATGGCAACCAGGCTGCTTGATAACTGGCAAATAGAGGGAGAAAACGTGGAGGCAGTGACAGACTTTGTATTTCTACTTGCAAAGATTACTGCAGATGCAGACTGTGGCCAGGAAATCAGAAGATGCTTACTTCTTGGGAGAAGAGCAATGACCAATCTCGATAAAATAGTGAAAAGTAGAGACATCACACTGGCAACAAAAATCTGCATAGTCAAAGCCATGGTATTCCCTGTAGTAACCTACGGATGTGAGTGCTGGACCATAAGGAAGGCTGAGTGAAGGAAGATAGATGCTTTTGAGCTGTGGTGTTGGAGGAAAGTTCTGAGAGTGCCTTGGACCGCCAGAAGATCCAACCAGTCCATACATCAGGAAATAAAGGCCGACTGCTCATTGGAGGGAAGGATAGTAGAGGCCAAGATAAAGTACTTTGGCTATATCATGAGAAGAAAGAAAAGCTTAGAGAAGACAATTATGCTGGGGAAAATGGAAGGAAAAGGGAAGAGGGGTCAAGGACCAGTACAATACTTGTGCCCATTGACAATACATTTGGCTCTCTTGGTAACTCACAAGGGAATGGTGACCAATGGATCATGGGCTGGCACCAGTCACTTTAGGTGGCACCACCTTAGTAAGTTTGACACATGCAGACACACACACATGTCCCAGGCCACACATGGCAACCTTTGGGTGACAAGGGCCATTTTATGCATTATGTGGAGTTTTCTGCATCTGGCTGCAGACCATGCTAAATGCCTGGAACAAAATATGCCTGTAAGGCACGTGTCTGCCACTCTTATAATTGACTGTTCATGCACAAACCTAAGTGAACATTAGGTTTGTGCATGAAAATGCCACATGAGAAAAGGACCCTCGGCCAGTAAAACAGAGCTAATCCAAGACCGACCTTTTAACACATTGCTTGTCTCTCATAAACATTCTGTTATCTTGATAGCAGTGAGATCTCCAGGGTCCCGTGTGATTTATGTCTCTTGCAGCACTGGAGTCAGTAGTACCAAGAAGATCCAAAAACTGGTGGAGAGAAGAAATCTCATAGAACTTCTTTATATACCTATTTATCACTGTATGAAGGTAACTCTCAAAAGTACGAATGACCTGAAAGTGTCATTTGGCAGCCTCTTTGTCTCAGATAGCCATCTACACATCAACTGCAAGAGCTTTTAGAATTGTTTCAGCAGAAATCTGAAAGCTGAGATGAGGCAGAGGCAAAGATCTGAATGCAGATGTGCTGAACTACTGCGTCCTTCATGAGACAAAGTCCATCAAAATGGTCAAGTGAAGAAAAAACACTTAGAGATGTTCTGCTCTTTGCCAAATATTCCCTTTTTTCTTTCCTTCTTTGTTGTGTTTTTATTCCTCTGTAATGCACAACATGGCCTTGATGATGATGCATAAACATATCAATTCTCCTTTTCTGCCCTCATATTTGTAACCTGAAGTCGGGTCATTTTAAAATAGATATACATACATAGATAAAGAATGTTTGTTCTATTAACTGTTCACTCAAAGGATAGGATTGATTATTGATTATGCTTTGAATGTGATTTTCCTGCTTCTTGGCAGGGGTTGAACTGGATGGCCCACGAAGTCTCTTCCAACTCTATGATTTTATGATTAAGACAGGACATTCATATTAAGGGAAATAAGAATGATGAAATCAGAGTCATGGATATATCTCATATGAAAATAATCTAAATATTACACGCAGTCCCCAAGTTATGAAAAAGATAAGTTCTGTAGGTTTGTTCTTAAGTTGAATTTGTATGGAAGTCAGAACAGGAACATTTTTTAAGTGTGACTGCAGTCAAATATATGTATTTTTAGCTGTGGATAGCATTAGGTAAGGTGGTGTTTGTTTTGCTGTCTGTGCCCCTGTTCAGAAGATTTCTCCTAATTTTCTGTCCCTGTGATAACTGAATTTTGAAAATGCGGCACGTTGTGGGAACAAGAATTGGTGATAAAGCTTCAGTGCAGACACCTTTCCCCCATGAAAACTCTTTCAGGAGTGAACTTCCCTTCTAAGAGGAAGATTTCTCTCACTTCCTGTTGTCTCACTCCCATTGTTGTTGCACATTCGTGCAGTCATTTCCGACTCTTCGTGACCTAATGAACTAGTCCATGCCAAAGCTCCCTGTCAGCCATCACCATCCCCAGCTCCTTCAAGGTCAATCCAGTCATTTCAAGAATGCCATCCATCCATCTTGCCCTTGGTCAGCCCCTCTTCCTTTATCCTTCCACTTTCCCCAGCATAATAGTCTTCTCTAGGCTTTGCTGTCTCCTCATGATGTGGCCAAAGTACTTCAACTTTGTCTCTAGTATCCTTCCCTCATGTGAGCAGTCGGGCTTTATTTCCTGGAGAATGGACTGGTTGGATCTTCTCGCAGTCCAAGGCACTCTCAGAACTTTCCTCCAGCACCACAGTTCAAAAGCATCTATCTTCCTTCGCTCAGTCTTCTCTAAGGTCCAGCTCTCACATCCATAGGTTACTACAGGGAATACCATGGCTTTGACTATGTGGAACTTCATTGCCAGTGTGATGTCTCTACTCTTCAATGTTTTATTGAGATTGGTCATTGCTGTCTTCTGATTTCCTGGCTGCAGTCTGCATCTGCAGCAATCTTTGCACCTAAAATTACAAAGTTGGTCACT